AAGCGTCCTCCAATTTTTATGTCCAAAAATGAGATCCGAAAGCCTATGTCCTGAAGCATGCAGACGCCATGACAATAGCTTGAGCAGTATGGCAGGCTATTCCTGGCAAACTATTTCTGTGATAGCATAGCGGGAACTATTCTGATTTGCCCAGGAGAATTCAAGTCATTGTAAATAACATTTCAGGAAAAGATATAAGGTACTTAAGCACAGGAATGACCATAAAAATAGCCAATCTTTCCAAACTTCCAAGGTTTCAGTTTCTTCAAGGCAGGTAAAAAATGAAGAATAGGGTCAGTATGGTAGCGTGACTAGAAGTCAGACCTTGGTGTCAAGAAGACCTCGGTTTAGGGTCTTGCCTCTGATACATTCTGGTTTTGGGACCTTGGGCAAGTCATTTAAGCTCTCATTATCCCCAGGAAACTCTCTATAAGTTGGAGTGAGAGGGTTTGGGTTCAAATATTGGCTCTGGTGCTTACTCCCTATGTGACCTTTGCCAAGTCACAACCTCCCTGGGCCTCAACATTTTCCTTATCTCTAAAATCAGGGGTAATTGCCCTTTATGACCTTTCCCAACTCTGTGATCTCTAAGATGAAGGGCTCCAACTACATGAGTTTAAAGCTCTAAAATCTAAGTTCCTATGACAGAGATACACAATGTGTCTGCATAGAGGCAGGTTGTCTGCCTCTGTCCTCTTCGAGAACGAAGGACAAACCACATAACAAGCCATACTACACGGCCTTCAGCTTTGTATCAAGACACTGTCTATTTGAAAATAATTTTGTCAGACACTCATCTCTGCTTAATTGCAGAATGTTTAATACAATGTTAATTAAAATAAGCACAAATTTATCGATATGGTAGAAATGTTGTAGGAATCTAAGATACACAGAGACCACTTTTGGTATTCTGAAAGAGGCCAGTGAAAAGCGAGAAAATTCCAGTCTTCTTTTAGCCATCTAGTATTAACCTAATAAGTAGTAATCATCTAATATTAATTAATAAGTGGGAGCTGTGAACTGAAACTTGGTCTTTTATTTCTGAAGACACTTCACTGAATTGGTAACACTTGTGTAGCAGAATATCAGAGTCATTTAAAAAGGAAGTTCTTTATTTTAAATTGCAAACAAATGTTTGTTTCCTCTGACTTCTGCATGAATCACTCATTAATGCAAAATTAAATGATGGAAATCACCAGAGGAGAAGAAGAAATCAACTCAATTCCAAATACCATGTGAAAAGTCAATAAAAATTCATAATTGCTTCCAACCTGAAAGTCTATATAATAGAATACAGAAAATGGTAACTGGACCATAAGAGATACAAAGAACCCCATCTGTGTGAGAATTAGGTTGTTAGCTTTTTGAGTCCCCTGGAAAGGATGAAAACAAGTAACTAAGATGAAAAAACAGTTATGACAACTGAATCTGATAAAGGTGAGAAGCTCTTGGGTTACCATGACAAAAGAAACCTGAAATTATATCATGACACAATTCAGTGATTATGTTTATTGTTAATTACAAGGAAACATTGTCCCTAATGTCTTGTCTACAATTTCCCTGCAACCCAGTGGAATTTTGTACTTTCTTTTTCAACACAGGCTCAGCGTAATTACAGTGAGTAATAGAGAACAGAAAGAACAGGGATGAACTGTGTGGCTGCCAAATACCCTGGAGGGTCCTGATGTCCATGTCTTAGTGTTATTGATGTCACAGATGAGTGGCAGCAAAATGGAGCAAATTGGGTCCCAGAATTGAAGGCAGAAAAGACCTGGGTTTGAAATGAGCCTCTGATAATTTGGTCAATGTGTATGACCATAGATGAGTCATTTCAACTCTTTTTCTCAGTTCACTCATCTGTCAAATGGGTACACTAATACCATAGTGCCTGCCTCTGAGGGTTGCCATGAAGAGCTAGAGAAAATGTTTGTAAACTGTTTCTCAAATCTTAAAGTGATCTACAAATGCTAGTTACTGTTATTATTTTTATTATTAATGAGAGGCAGTGTGTTGTCATGGATTTGGTGCATTCAAATCCTGCTGTTAGCACATATTGGCTGTATGACCCTGGGCCAGTCACTGAAACCACTTAGTGCCCCCTCTCTAAGACTAATAAATTGCAGAAAAGGTGCCAACATGCATTGGTAGAGGAAGGTTCCCTATACAGTGAAATCATTATCCCTATTATTATTCATAATAATATAACATATGCTGCTACATATTATCTTATACATAATAGTATATATGCTGGCTCTGTTCTTTGAGTCCTGCCAGTGGTCTGAACAAGTTAATGTCATTTCCAAAGCTTTATCTGAACCCCTCTATGATCTAGATCAAGGATAACAGTCGCCTTGTGGTCCTTGTGTCTATTTCATAAAGGGTATGATCATTTAGGTATCAAGCAAGTCAGTCCAATCATTGATCTAATATAAGTTGATCTGAGAATATAAGAAAAAGCATAGTCCTGGAAGGGTCCTGGAGAGGTCATCTGGTATCGTAGACTCAGAGGATTTGGGAGCTGGAAAGATCTTCAGAGGTACTAGAGCTTAACAGACTCCCTCCTCACACCCAATCCTCACCCCTGACTCCTCATACCACCTTCGTATTAAATGAGTCCAGGAGAGGTAAAGTCCAAGGGCACAACGCAGATCTCCTGACTCCCAATACAGTCTTCTTTCCAAAATGCCTTATTACAAGATGTCATACTGGCTGAGTATGATGAATCCTCCAGGCCAGTAGTATGTCTCAGCCAGAGACATTAAAAAAGACAATAAGAGTTACTTTCCATGACATCAACTCCAAAAGGTTAGACATGGAACCCATACTATGACCTCCTAATCAACCTAGTGCAAATCTGTCCTTTGAGAATTTATCTGAACCATTATGTGTGTGTGTGTGCATACAAATACATGTATGTATGTATATATGAGGTATGTGTGTGTATATCCATATGTGTATATATAATGTGTTTTTTATATATATATATATATATATATATATGTATATACATATATACATACATATGCATAAATAAAAATCCTCCCCTTATCCATCCTGAGGAAAGAAGCCTCAAAATTTCACTGAACTTTTGAAAAATATTTGATCCGACTAGCATTTACTAAGTCCTTTCCACATGCCAGACACTGTACTAACTCTAGGAATAGCAAATCCAAATGGATGAGTCAGTCCCTTCCCTCAAGGAGTATGCATTCTATTGGATACGTGTATTTTCCCTCTAAATCCAAGGTGCTTGTACCATTGCTCACCTATGATTCCCTTGGTCCCAATCACCACAGACAAAGGAGAATTCTTTTTCTGTTCAGAACAAAGAACTTAGAATCAACACACAGACCCATTGCTGTGTAGAGAATAAATCCACACATGGGGTATGTTTTTCAAGCTTCTGCTCTGCAAATTTCTAGAGATTTTAATGAAGTTGCATCTGAATGTTTCTAGTGAGAAGAAAAGCCAATTTACATGAGAATATATTCACATTCATAGGCTGCTTGGTATAGCCAATTTATACTCACAGGCTTAGGCTCTTAACAATGCAGGTTTAAAAATTAATATTTCACAAACAGTTCTGGATAAGTTCTCTGGAGAATCTGATATCTTCTGTTTTGGCCAGTAAAGAGAAGTACAGACATGATGTGTTTTTGTCTTTTAAAGTAGAGAATTAGGTTAGTTCCCTTTCACTGTTGGCAATCAATAATATGAAAAACCAAATGGAGGCTGGCAGCCAGCTGGAATATGCAGGCAGAGCAAGTCAGGATCATTCTGTCTAATTCCAACAGGCCACTCTTTATTTAGGGCCATGTTTCAGTGGTATTCTTTTTTTTTCTTTTAATTTAATTTAAATTTTTAAAAATACCCAGTGTTCCCTATCTCTCCTAGGCCAGCAGTGCAGTGGCTACAAATAACTTTGATGCCATTCTCATTGATTTTGACCTTTGCTGTTTCTGACCTGGGCTAGTTCACCCCTCCTTAGGCAACCTGGTGGCCCCTCTGCTCCACGAGGCTCACATATTAATGTCAGGTCTTGTATAGATCCCTGATTGGCTCAGCCCACTGTAGCTCAGATATCCAGAACTTGAAAGATCAGCCAGCCTCAACTTCTTCAGTAAAGCCATTTCAGGTGGGCACAACCTTGCCTGACCAGAGATAGAGACTTTCATAATATACTAATGGAGATGCCCTTTTTGTAGGCAGGTTGAAAAGAATTAGAGGCATACTACCCCCATTAGACATTTATTTATAATCAATCAATCAATAAACATTTATTAAGTATTTACTGTGTGCCAGGCTCTGTGCTAAGCATTTATAAGCCATTTGCTTTCCCATCTTGGGACTCATGAATTATCCTATGCTCTCTGATGGATGTGTTTCATTTCTGCCTGGTCTTATAGCAGTTTCAGGACATAAACTTTTACAAAGTTCTGCTAAGAACAACTCAAAATCATTGTAGAGCAAACCAACCATTCACTCATAGAATTCTCTTCTAGTAAGCCATTGCATAGTGCCTGGTACATGGTAAGTCAATGCCTGTTAACAGGCTGGTTGTGATCAATCCTTCATCTCAGTTGACCTGAACAAGAATTTATTTTGTACCTACTGTGTGCTAGGTACTACAAGTCCTTGCCAAGCAGCCCTGGGAGAGTCCTTTAACCTCTCACTGGCCCAGACAAATATCTGACTCCCAGTTGCAGAGCAGGGGATGATCTATTTCCCTGTACTAATGAAATCACAGGTCCAGTCTTTAAAAAAAAAATGTACCAGGCACTGTCGTATGTGCTGGAGATACAGGCAGAAAAGTAAACAGTTCCTACCTTTATGTAGGTAACACTGTACTAGGAAAACAACACGTACCCAGATAAATAAATAGGAAATACGCATAAGGTAAATGATCATTTAGGGGTGCAGAATACTCTCATAACAGGTCTTCCCAAGACAGGCCTAGAGGAAACCATGTAACTCTTTTTATTTCCTGTCTCCCCTTGCAGAGTCCTCGAATGCCACGCTGTTGACCAATGCTGAAAAGATTGCCACCATAACCACCACGCACACTCCTTCCCAACAAGGAGCCCAGGAGCCCAGGTCAGCTGCTGTACATGTAGATGTACTTTATGTTCAGTGATCATTTCTGGCACAACCATCGATTGCCCTTGGTTCTTTCTCAGTTTTCCCATGGGTTGCTCTTTTTTTTTTCTCTCTTCCTCTCTCTTCATTCAACAGGAATAACGCTAAACCAAAGCAGGAATCGCAGTTTGATTTCAAAGCCCCCCAGGCTGCACAGGTGAGCTCTGCTTCTTTCATTTGCTTTATTTACCCGGTACTCTGGCTTCCAACTTACTCAGACTATTTTTGTGAGACATTCTTAAAACAGGGGAAAAAATAATTCCTTACAAGATAATTATTTACCAGCCATAAGCCCTCAGATCCAGTTGTTTCAGAAATGAGGATTTAATACTTTGCTTTTAAAAATATGTCTGGATATCCCTTTTTATTTTCTGGGAAAAAAAAGACACTGAACCAAATACAGCCCCTAGCAAGACAGCAAAGTTTCTAGTAGCCAGTGATAGCAATCATGGAAGGGTCTATGGCCCCAAAGTGCATTTTGTCAAGAAGGAATGAGTTTGCCAGTGTTGAATGGCCCAGGCACCAGACTTAGAAAAGGAATGGTGGACCATATTTAAAGTGTGTCATTTAAAGATAGGATTACTCCTCAATCATAATTAGTTTTATTATTTTTTCATTAATGATGCTATACATGTTCTAGGCCCTTAGTAAATGAATGGGCATATGAATGAATGACTAAAATGAATGAATCAATAGCTTGAATGAATGAATCAATGGCTAAAATGAGTGAATAAATGAATGGCTAAAAAATACTTTGGAGCAGCCTGAATTCAATTTGTGGACTTCAGCAATTCTACTTCCATGTCTTTCAGCAGGACCAAGATTTCTACACTGTTGAATTGGAAAGAGGAGCCAAAGGATTTGGTTTTAGTCTTCGAGGTGGTAGAGAATATAATATGGATCTCTATGTGTTGCGGTTAGCTGAGGATGGTCCAGCAGAGAGGTGTGGAAAGATGAGGGTATGTATGAAGAGGGAACTTACATTTGCAATGACCAATGGTGGCCCTAGAGAATAGTTAATGAAACATATCTTCATTTTTTTCTGCAAAGAGGTGGAGAAGTACAGGTACAGAAGGTTTCCTAGATCAAAAGACAAGGTTACCCTTTCAGTGGGTTTTGCTTAACTGTTTTTATTTGCTACTCAAAAAGTTCAGTGCTGGCTAGGAGTGAGACAAGTTATATCCAGAAAGTGCCAGGCCTGAAGTAAGGAAGACTCATCTTCAGGAGTTTCAAATCTGGCCTCAGACACTTAACTAGCTGTATGGCCCTAGGCAAATTACTTAACCCTATTTGCCTCTGTTTCCTCATCTGTAAAATGAGCTGGAGAAGGAAATGGCAAACTACTCCAGTATCTTTGCCAAGAAAACCCTAAATGAGGTCACAAAGACATGACTAAAATGACTAAACAAATAACCAAGAAATGTCATTAATAAAAACATATCTTCTTTAAAAGTTACTTATAAACCAACATAATCCTAAAACAATTTTACTGCATCTAAAAATGTACCCATTTTGTACAGACAAATCCACTTTCTGGGAATCGAGAGTCCTAAGGGATTTAGATGCTCCACATAGGACCGTAGGGCTTGGTTTTGGTGGAAAGCTGGGATACATTTCAAAGAGAGGGAATTCATTCATGCAGTTGAAAGAAACAAGTAAAATCTGCCCCAAAAACAGGCAAAGAAGGGAGGAGGTGGAGGACACTGGGCCAGGAGACTGGAGAAAGGGAGGAATTTCTTGGTCCTGGTCACACAAAATTCTTAAATTGTCCCCAGTTGAGCTTGGACCAAGCCATTATAAAACTACTATGTAAGCTCTTAGACTATATTTTCTACATCATTTTAAAGGTGCCTGTCTCATTAGATTCTGAGGACTTCTGAATGCCACCTCAAACAAATGACAGTTGACTTGGGATTTCTGCCATATTGCTGGAAAACTTAACAGTTATGGTGACTTGTGATCAGTCCCTGTTTTTAAAGGGCAGTCTTTATAACCTGTTCTTAGGCAGAAAATGCAGGGTTTCACTTGCCTTGAGGTTTGAGGTAATGATACGGCTTGGATTCCCGAAGATGCCCAGGGTTTTTCTGTAGGGTTGCAAGATTCCTTTGCCCAGGATGGACCTCACTCTACCTGAATGGCAAATGGGCAAGCTATGCTCACATGTGTGAGACTGAGGCACCAAGAAAACCATTAGATAAAGGCATACAGGTAAATTAGTCTTTTAATTTATTATGGAGAGGCAACAGGTCATAGTGCACAGGGAGCCAACTTTGTAGTCAGAACTGGCTTTGTGACCATGGACAAAACTTCACCCTTCAGTGCTGCCAGGCAATTATCTAACATTATGAGATACATACAGATGAGTTGGTAATCTTCATAGGTGAAGGCAATTTCCTTACTGGAGAGTTCTCTACCCTGGAAAATTCACAGGTTTAGAACAAGAAAACAAAATTTTTAAAAAGCTTAATATGAGAAATGGAATAAAGCTGCCTCCTCATAAGCTTTCAGTTTGTCAGATGAACCCAAAGTGGTATGGATTCTTATTAACTATCTTGGCCTAATGGCTAGAGAGCTGGGGTTGGAATCTACAAGACCAGAGTTCAAGTTTTGTCTTGGATAGTTACTAGTTTTATGACCCTGGGGAAGTCACTGGATCTACATTTCCCTCAAGCACAGGCTTAACTACAGTTTCAGTTTAAAGAATACTGGCTAACGAATCCGAGGATCTGGCTTTACCATTCACTACCAATATGATCTTGGGCAAATGACTTAACCTCTCTAAACCACAGTCTCCTCATCTGAAAATGAAGGGGTCAGACTAAATAATCTCAAAGCACCCTTCTAGTTCTACATCTAAGATGCCATGATGCTAGGGAAGACAGGTTGTTAGTTACACATCTTTCCTCCATCACTGAAGTTTGTTCTCCTTTAAAACACAAATGAGTTCGTGTGTGTGTGTGTGTGTGTGTGTGTATTTCTGCGTGTGTGCCAATAATACTATGGCGAAAAGTTGCTAATTCATGACATGTATATAAATATATGTGTGTATACATATATTTATATGTGTGTGTGTGAGAGAAGTGGGGGAGGATGAAGAGAGGAGAGGAGTGAGAGGGAAAGAGAGAGAGAAGAACAAAAAAAGAGAGAGGGGAGGAAGAGGGAAAGAAGAAAAAGAGAGAAAAAAGAAAGCTGGATATTGTCTCCAGTTTTAACCAGATTGAAAAATAACTAGACATATTGTTGATCTGTTCTGCTATCCAGTCAGACCCTTGGCATTTTCAGATATATAATTAAACAAAACCCATCAATGAAATTCAGAATGAGCGTTTTTTAAAAGGGTTTCAGCCCTCAAAATTTATAAGAACCATTGCACAAAAATGGTTGGTGACATTGAACGAGAAGATGATAATAAATTTGTGGAAGAATTTCTTGGCTGTTCCCCTGACTCTAACATATAATTCAATATGTTCTCTTACAAATTATCTTGGGGGTGAGGAGGGGAGTGAGGTACGGAGAGGAGCTACTTAGGAGGGAAATTACTTAAAACAGCATTGACATGTGTTCACTCAAACACTTGAGCAAGAAGCCTTATCCATGTAATCCTCAAACCAAATAGTACATGTAATACTCTTCATAAACCTTGGAACACTATGTAAATGTTAATTTTATGTTATTCTGAAGAGCCAACATAGGATGCAATGCTGAGTGAGGAGACAAAGGGATGGGACAATGAGGCTGTATGCCTAGGTCATTTTATATGTATTGGGCATGTGTTAATGACCAGGGATGGCTTTGACTTTCCCCATCCACAGATCTTAGAAGTTTCAATAGAAACAATGCTTGAACAAAGCTCTTATCCTTCTCTGCCCTTTATTAGAAACATTATCGAAACGGACTCCTTTTCTTGTGTTGAGATGTTTGAATCAACTAAAACCAAATGAGCGCCTTGCATATTTACAAGATCACCATCTGAATTATTGGCAGATTGTGCCAGTAGCTCTCATTAGGGTAGGACATAACTAGGGAGATATCTTAATTCATCTTCCCCACACTTGGGCCCCATAGAATTCCTTTAGATCTCACATTTCCTTCCCCAAACCAGGTGAGTCATGTCATTGCAAGGTGGGCAGCTCTCTTGTACCAAGTTCCTCCTCTGACACTCTAATTTTCTTCTTTTTTTTTGACTTGTTAGATTGGTGATGAAATCTTAGAAATCAATGGGGAAACCACAAAAAACATGAAGCACTCTCGGGCTATAGAACTGATTAAGAATGGTGGCCGCAGAGTTCGTCTATTTCTGAAACGTGGAGATGGCTCAGTACCAGAATATGGTGGGTCAAACTATGAAAACATTCCTTTCTTCCCTGGCATCACTCCATGAATTTGTCTTCAGAGCCGCAGCGGGAAATTACTTTTGTTTTCCTTTCTCACCAGTGTCTTACCAACCTTTTTGCAACACGTGATTAATTGCCTCGCTTGTTCTGAAATCTCTGCACATTTCATCCTTTTTGCTTGCTTCCATGGACTGGGGCGGAGAGTTAGGCAAGACCATCGTAGCCCTCCCCCCTTTTCTGAGGATCAGAGAGAGAACATTTTGTCTAGTCCAACCAAGAAAGAAGGAATGTTTCTTTGAACTGTGCCAAACTGTTTCTCATTGCTAGCACAAAATGACACTGTTCTTTTAAAGAAGGAGGAAAGCAGGTTTCCTGAGTGATATGTTGAGGCACAAATACTTTTTTTGTTGTTGTCGAATTTGTGTCTGTATTCAGAGACATGAAATTCTTAGCTCTTCTAAAGCTCTGTATACAATCACTCCTTCTCTTCCCACCCAGATTCAAACCTTCTAAGCCCACTGTTGTTAAAAAAAAAAAGTCTGTTAATACTTAGTCATATATTTTTAAATGATAAAGGATGAAACACATTTCCAGTGCTCATCATGGGGGAAAGATGCTACTCTACCTTTCCTGTAAGGAAAGCTAAGTGCTGCACTATTGTTCCTTTATCATAGCTAGAGACATGAGTTGAGTAGACAGCAGTGATCTTGATTTAGATTAGGGTTCTGATGGGGGAAATATTGTATATTATGATAATTATGTCCTATTTATTTGAAATAATTGTTTTAAAAAATTATGCCCTAGATGTAGGGCTCTTCCCAACCAAAGGTCTTCAAAGTTTCTATAGAAACTGTGATTGAAGGATACCCTTGAACTTGGCTGCCCCTTATTAGGGATACTAACTACTATTTAGACCTCCTTTCTGAAAGTCGCTCTGCACAATTCACAATTGAATTCTGGGACTTGCTGAGATGTTTGAATCAAGTGCCACTCAATGTGATGGGGTTGCCCATTTGGAACACTCACCTTCCCAGTGGCGTACGCCATTTGGCATGTATACTCTGGGCCAAGACCAGGAGGGTCTGATGAAGGCCCCTTTAGGAAATGACCTGATGTGACTCTGAATTCCAACTCAAGTGGAGGAATGTTTCCAACATTCCCCTGCAGTGGCTGGGCACACCTTTCTGCACTAAACCTCTTACCACTAGATTCAAGGATGGCACTGAAATTGTGTGAAATTCTGTCTTCTTCTTTGTCTTCCCTCTTTGCTCCTCTTGTGTGGATGTACCATGTCATTGGGGACCCTTTGTAACCACCCCGTACAGCTTCACATCTCAAAGTATATGTCTGTTGCACTGAGGATGAAAAAAAAATCCAAGATTCACAAATGTTCTTTGGGCTAAAAATAAAGATCATTAAATATGCAGGTTCAAAGGAAGGGTTTAATATACTGGGCTCGTGCTGCTGTAACCATTTGCGTGTCATTTGGGCTTAAGCCCCTCAGCTCTATCAATGAGAGTCACAAGTGGGTTGGTTATGCTATGTTCCATTCCAATATTTTTCTTACTCGATTGGAGCCCACTCCTCTGTGAGGCTATTTTTGTAATGAGTTTTTTGTACTTAATTTCACCACCGTCGCGGTCTTCAGGGGGGCGGATGGGACTCTGGGTTTGGTTTGGTTTTTTTGTTAACTGTCAATGCCTTTTCTATACCAGCCTGTGTCATTATTCTGGATGTTTAAAAAAAAATGGATGCATTCATTGTCTTGGGTTTTTGAGTCACCTTTTGGCTGTCTAATTATGCTACTATCGTAATTGCTGTCTCTCCAGCCTTATTTGGGTGTCGCCTTAGACTGTCTGACTGGACAAATAAACTTTCTTTGCCCTAAGATAACCAAATGAAGATTTATTACTTTTTTTTTCTTTCACCTTTGTTATAGGGAATCTAAATGTTCAACTTTTCTCTCTCTCTCTCTTTCTCTTTTTCTGACTGTTCTTGGTGCTGGGCTCTCACTTCCTCAGCGATGATCCCTCCTAATATCGCTGCATGTATGAGAAATGACAAGCTCGGGGAGGCTTGCTTCTACCTTATGGGCCATAACCAAACTACGGTTTGTAGCCAAGTCAATCCTAGGTGTTTCTGTGCTGTGGCCTAATTCCCTCATTGCTTCTGCTTTGCTCTATACTGATATGTATGGCAATTCATTCTGAGCGCTCCCCTGCCTTCTTTAAATTGTAAGTACATGACCTAACCTATTCAAGCTTTGATCTGCCTGATAAAGTAAGTAGGTAACCAGGATCACAGAAAGATGTCCCATCTGAACCTAAATAGGTGTCACTTCCCACCTAGAGGAAGCTCGATGGCACAGTAGTTAAAGGGCTGGACCTGGAATCAGGAAGACCTGAGTTCAAATCCAGCCTTAAACACTTACTAGCTGTGTGATCCTGAGCAAGTCATTTAACCTCGGTTTCCTCATCTGTAAAATGAGGATAATAATCACACCTGCCTCCCAGAGTTGCTGTGAAGATAAATTACAAAGCGTAAAGCACTTTGTAAACTTTGAAGTGAATATGCATGTGCGATGTAGCATATGGATGCTAGCTATTGTTATTGTTGTTCTTCTCATTTTTATTATCATTCCCATCCTCCCTTACAAGTGACAGCCAGCTATCGTTTAATGCCTGAAGTGGAGGAGAACCCACTTAAGTGCTGGAGGCCACTTGTTTCCACTTTTGGACACCTCTGGTTATTTTTTGTTACATTAACCCCGAAAATTGAGTTCTCCGCCAATTCTACCCCATTACTCCTGCTTCTTTCCCCTTGGGGCCAAGCAGAATTAACTGCAGTAGGTGACTTTGAAGGCCCCCTCCAATGTTTATCCTGTGATCCTACTGAAAGATCATTTACAAGCTCACAGGTTTAGAGTTGGAAGGAGCCTTAGAGACCATGATTACGTCTGTGACCTTAGACATGTCCCGCTCCTTCCTGGCCCTCCATTTTCTCACCTGTAGAAATGGAAGGGGACATGGGGTGGATTAGATGGCCTCGAAGGTCCCTTTGAGCGCTAACCCCATGATCCTAAGTATAATCCCTCTTGTTAGGGGGAAGCCTTTCAGGTACTTAAAGGAAATCAGTTATCATGGGCTTTCTTAGTCCACTAATCGAGGAGGCAGAGTGAGAAAACAATTGCTGTACAAGAACCAAGCTGTGATGGGAAACCCAAAGCTCATGGCTTTGGATATAAATTTCTCTCCCTTTTCAACACATACATTTTAAAATGAGCCATTTTTCATCTGCCCCACAGTAGATGCCTCCATGTAATAGTGAAAGAATGAAGCTTTTTTATCCTGATCCAGGTACCTTAAATAGGGTTTGGGGAAAGGTGAGGAAATGAGATGACTTATCACAAAATAGGCAGTTTGGCCCTAGGCTACTCTAATTTGTAATCATCAGCAAGAGAGCTAACTATACTTCTCCCCCACACTTGAAACTCTAATGGAAGTTGGGGGTGGGGAACAGGGCGGAGCAGGCTGACTGTTCATGAAGGGCCTTGAGTGTTGATAATAAGGCACTGTTGCCTTATGAGAGAGATTTACTGAGAACATCTGCATTCCACTTTTTCTCTGCAACTGTCATGATGATTTACTGTGATAGAAGAAATCATTCATGAACATCTGTCTCAACTGGTGGTTTGTGCGTGTATGTGTGTGTGTGTGTGTGTGTGTGTGTGTGTGTAATTTATATTTAGATAAACCAAACTTCACTGTGTTATATAGAAGTATATGTAGCTAGCTATAAAGACTTGTGGGATGTCATTTAACATGTCTGTACACCATTTCAGATGACTCATTTAAGGATCCTCATGGTCAAACCCCTTAACAGCAGTACGAAAAATAAAATATTGGCTAATTATTCTATAGTTCTTAACACACTTTCCACAAGAGTTCTCATGGCCTTCATGAACAAAAGCTCTGTGAGGTAGGCTTTACTGGTACCCACTGTATCACTGTACCCAAGTTATAGCCCTGAAAATATAGGATCAGACAAGTTCATTCATTTACCCCCAATAGCAGCACACAGAGGATGAGCTCTTGTAGGCTGAACCTTAGTTGTACAAGAGAAGCTGAAAGCATTTCTGGTCTCAGAACTTACCAGAAACCATTATTCTTCCATGTCACTCCTCTCCCAGCCATGAACCCCTCTGCCCTCTCCCCTCCTTCCCTCTCCCTAAAAAAAAAAAAAAATTTCTTTTCAAAGCAACTTATTTGAAGGAAAGGACATTTTTAGTTTTGCTTAGTTGATGCTGCAGTCAGGATCTGATGCGCTTCAGAAACTGAAATCATGACTGATATTGTAATTATTGAGATGATTCCTGCCTAGGCAAGCATGTAGATGTTAGGAACAATGGGGGAAAATAACGGGCTAGCTTCAGAGCATCCCAAGTACTAATCGATAACTCCCCCTATTTGTAGTTAGATTTAAATTAACAAAGCTTGAGTTGGCTTCCATTACTGACTGTCTTAATGGTTGTTTGTTTTTGTCATTAATGGAGTCTGAAATGTAGTAAATGGTGTCTGGAGCTAAAGGCCTCTTGTACCAAACTGTTACTTTCATTTCTTCCAGACCCCAGCAGCGACAGGAACGGCCCCTCCACAAGTCCACAAAATGTACCGGAAATGAAAATCGGGCTGTCCGATCGGCGACCACACCCATCATTGGAGTCCAGTTATCCACCAGATCTTCACAAATCATCACCACATGGGGAAAAGCGGGCATATGTTAAAGACCCAAAAGGCAGCAGAGAGTATAGCAGACAACTCAGTGAGCACCACACTTGGAATGGAATTTCTAAAAGACCTGAAGGGGCCGGAGCAGGGAGGCCAAAGGACCGGACACCAGAGGGAAGGAGAGAAACCCACCAGGAGAGGATGGCAATAAATGGACCAAAAAAGAAATCACCCGAAAAGAGGCGGGAAGGAACAAGGAGTGCTGATAATACTTTGGAGCGGAGAGAACGGCATGAGAGGAGGCGAGAGATTTCTCCTGGGAAGAGACGAGAGTGGTCACCAGGCCACAGAAAAGATGGTTCCCCCAACAGACGCAGAAGATCCTTGGAAAGACTCTTGGATCAAAGAAAATCTCCAGAGCGAAGAAGAGAGTTCTCTCCTGAGAGGAGGGCCAAGTCCTCTGACCGAAGGAGAGAGCGGTCCCCAGAGAGGAGGCGAGCACGGTCACCTGAAAAGAGAAACCGAGACGACAAAAGCAGCCGGAAAGAAAGGGAAGGCCCCAGTCAGAAGCCGGAGGTGAACCGAAGTTCCAGACATCCCCCTGAACAGAGAAGGAGACCTTACAAAGAATGCAGCACTGACCTCAGTATCTGAGCCTTTTTGCATCACGTTCTAGCCTTTACAGGGTGAAAGATTTCAAGAGGGTAACAAATTATTTAGTTTCTTATGTAACAAAGCATCCAATACCTTATGATCTTAAGGAATAGCAACAAACATTTTATGCAGATGAAACATATAAGAAAAATATATGAAAAGTGTTGTGCCTGATGTATCATATTAAAGAAAGTATTTTTAAATGTATACTTTTTTTCAAAATTATTTGCCAAATGCTGGCCCTAAAGGATATAAATTTTGTTTCTATATACAGTTTAGAGTTGGAGAATCATCCTTGACCGGGCAGCCTTTTCCTTCCATAGTCAAGTGGGGCAGTCAGTAATTCCTCTAGGGAAGGAAGTTGATTGATTACATTTAATTATTTGGATCCAGACTGTTATTTAGTGATTTCCTGCTATACTGTATCTAGGAGTTTTGAAAAGAAATGGGGAAGGGGAGGAGGGGTAAAAGCATTATGCCAGTAGGAGCTGAGGACTCTTCCTGAAAGCAAGCTATCCTCAAAATGAATTAACTGTTTGGAGAGACTACTATTATGATGAAGGATATTTATATGAAGACTAAACAGCACAACGAGATACTTGATTCTTGATTTAGCTCTGGTTCAACCAACGGTTTGTATCTTTCCTGTCTGGTAGGAGACAACAAGACAGGAGCCAGGGCTGCCACACCTATGGCACAAGTGTAGACCACCAAGCTCATTAAGAATCCTCAACACCTACCAAGGTCACATTAATGCAGCACCACCACAGTTTAGCTCAACGACTAGAAGCAATTGGACCGAATGCCAACCATGCGTTGTATCACCTTCTTAGAAGCAGGATAGCAACTAGAAAATGGGAGTGCATGCACAATATAATGGAGGCATTGGAAATCCCCAGTATATGGTGCGTGTGTTTATTCTGCTTAGCATAAACCAGTAGACATTCTTTGCCAGAATTTTTAATTAAGGGAGTCGGGAGGGGAGAAGGACAAATTTCTGTATTTGTTTTATTTTACTGTTTGATTCTTCCTGAGACAAGCAGGATTCACCTTGTGAATGCAAGAGAAATATCCCCAGGATGCTCAAAGAAGCCATTGGGAGAGTTCACCCAATCTGGTTGGGAAGCTTCCGCCCTGATGACTTTGTTGCTTGAATAGCTCTGGAGAGCAGAACAAAATGCAAGGGTTTGGAGGGGTGGGGTGGCTTTTCTTTCTTTTTTTCCTTTCTTTCTCTTTTCCTTTCTTTTGAGCTGTAATTTTTCAAGATGCAAGTAGTGTGGTGACGTCTGCTATGGCCGTGGTTTACGGCTGGAATGGATTACTGCCTAGCTGAGCCAAAATGTTTGCCATTCCCTTTGGACCACTCAAGTAAACTGCTGCTTGTGGCGTGTTGCTGTGTCCATGGTCTACTGTTTCACATCTTCCATACAGACACCAAGCATTGCGAGTCTATCACTGTTGTTCCCGTGGTACTGTAAAAAAAAAAAATTAAAAAAAAAAACAACAAACCAAGATGGCCAATCATTGTGTATACAGAGTTTAAATTGTAATTAATAGAGCCTGTTGAAACACAAAACTGTTGCCTTTTTTCTTGTATAAAAGAGAATTTATGACAAAATTTAGCTGTGAGGAATGTGATTAAGTGTTTATATTTCTGAAAATGAAGCAAATTGATTCATGGGGATATATTTTAATGTACACTGAATCAGGTATGTAAAGCCGTTTTAAAATGGGAGCCTCTATAAGTAATTCTCAAGCTTTCATTTATCCTGTCACGGTGGGCCTGCCTGTGGAATATTAAGCCCTTGTACGCATCTTCTGTTTTTCCGCTCATCCCTTCTTGCTGTGTGCTGTAGGCATAATGCTCTTTTGGTGTTGATGAAAAGCAGTATGTGGGCCAATCTTTTTATAAAACACTATGCATATATGAATACAACATTGTTCATAGCTTTATTTGACGTTTGGGCTTATACATGGCGTGAGTAGGAGTCAAAAGTAGATGTTGGATTTACTCAAAGCCAGCTACTTTCCTCGAAACAGACACAATGTATGTTGTTATGACATAGAAGGAGAAAGCCTGTAAAAGCTATTTTTATTATTCAATAATTTTTTTCCATACAAAGCATCCATCCAACTGCAATGGTCAGATTCAGGAAGAACAACCCTGAATAACACTGTTCTTGTCTGGTTCATTTGGTTCCCCCCTAAGGCAAGAAATTGGATTCCACCTAAGGCCCCACTACTGGGAGTTGATTCCTGATTTCTAGCCAAATACATGATGCGAAATGCCTGCTGTCCCCAGGTCAACTCAATATTTGTCTCTCATCAAGGTAGAGCTTTGAGTAGATCCTAAAATGAACCTATCTTAAGATAACTTGTTGTCAAGGGTGATATTTAAACCTTAAAATCTGTGTGTAACCAACTGGGGCCAGTCAAAGTCTCTGAAGACTTGGGGTGTGACAACTCGGTCTTTATTTCCCAATTCGAGTTTTCCTTTGGAAACGCTGTACTGTATGAGGACTATGCATAAAGTCGAAGGATACAGTTTTCTCTGAACTGCTGTACTTAATATTGGGTACTTCCTGGTTCACTGCTCTAGCTAGCACACAAGTCAATGTCTTGATGGGAGGCGACTGATGAGTATATTTTGTATGTTCAAAATCGAACCATTTAGAATTATTCCCCCCACTACACAATCAATGCCTGGAAGAATGTTAGGGTGAAAACCAGACACCCTACTTGTATTTTTTAAGTTTGAGTCTTTTGTGAAAGATTTTTTTAATGCATTTTTACTGTAAAAAAAATACACGGAAAATGTATGCATTCCATAACAATTACTGCTTCTGGATTTGTATTGTTGTTGTCTCTGATTTGTCGCCTCAACTTCCTGAATACACTTAGGTCAAGTCTTCATCTGGGAACTGGCCAGCCCAGCACTTGTTTCAAAATTACTAAAACATCGGCGTCTCACAGCGAGGCTAAATGACTACTGTCCCGGTTTCATGCTCGTCTGCCAAGAGCGAGAGGAATGAATTGCACCATAACATTTCTTCAGAGAACCTAGCAAGTTCCCCACCTTCCTCTGACTACCCCTTTAGTTCTCTAGTTCTTTCATATTAAAGAAATTATGGAATTTGAGAGTTGGTGGATTCAAATACCACCTCAGTTGCTTAGCACAGCACCTAGTATTTAGTAGGCACTTAATAGTTATTTTCTAACAACTACTTGTGTGACCTTGGCAAGTCACTTTAACTACTGTGGGCCTCAATTTTCTTTTCTGTAAAATGAGAGTTGGATCAGATGGCCTCTGAGGGCCCTTTCAGTTCTATGTAGGGGATCCTATGATTCTTCAATCAGTGGCAATCATGTTTAGTGGCATCAAACAGAAATGGGGGCCACTAAACCAGAAATAAGGATCCCTGCAGTGTCATGTATTGCCTTAGAAAATAATATTTCTAGTGGACTTTTATTAATTTAGTTAAGCACTTCCCAGTTACATTTTAATCTGGTTCAGGCTGCATTCATATCGGATACCTCTGATCCAACCCAATACGTAGTTCTCCCTCGAAGAACAACAACTGCTCTACAGAGTTTTCTAAAGAGGTCATTTAGCTCCTGCTTAAATACCTCCTGAGAGGGTGAAATTCACTACCTCCCATGGCAGCCCATTCCACTTTCATACAGCCCTTATTGTTTGGCAAATTTTTCCTTCCGTCAAATATAAATGTACCTCAACTTCCATGGTCCAAGATTTGGATTGTCTAGGATGCTCTCTCTGGGCATAACCTCATCTGGAAAGTGAAAAAACCAGACTGGAGAATCTCAGTGGTCTCTTCTAGGTCTAAACCTATGACTCTGTTTCCACCCATTGTTTCCATCATTGTTCGAGCCCCAAGCAGGTAAAATCAAATCCCTCTTCCACATGACATTCCTTCAGATTCTTGAAAATGTCAATAATGTACCCTCTCCCCCCCCCCCCAGTCTTTTCTTTCCTGTAACTTCACCTCATTACTTAATAAAGCAGATGAAATTTCATCCCTAAGGTCAATATCTAGTCTCTTCAACAGAACTGGCCCTTTATCATCAGTTTTGCCTTTCTCTAAATGGTCTCCAGTTAATCAATCCTTCCCAAAGAGTGGTACCAATAACCTAACAGAGTTCTCCAGGTGTGCAGTCAATCATGGCAATTAAAAATAAATAATTACCTGGCACCGTTAAAAAGGGAAGGATAGTCTCTCTTGCTTTTATAAAATTAGTGAAAAAATTGGAACATGCTACTTCCCCAAGCATATCTTTTACTCATTAGAATTTGGTCATCCCAAGTGCAAAGGTCACTGCCTGGGAGCTTGGGGACCAGAATAGGGTAACAACTTAGCTTGCTTGTAGAGGCAGCTCGCTCCACTTTGGAATAGGATTTAAAGGTTAGGAAATTTTCCCTGACATCAAGTTAAAATTTGTCTCTTTGCAACCCTCATCCACTGTAGCTTTATAAAACAGGAGAGAGTTAGACATGCTCCATTGTCTGACCTGACAAGTTAATGAAAGTGGTCAATGCTTCAATTCGCTTATATGTATATGATTTAGTTCCTCAAGAATTCAATCTCCATAGGTGATTTTTTTTAAATCACTTTTCATGGACTTTGGGTCCTAGTCATTCCAAAGAGTATCCTACAATTAATTCATCCTTCCTGTTGAACTTTCTCTTGCTTTATTTTGTCACACAAGTAGTAATTGCAGACACTATACTCTTCCCAGTTTAATTAAAGGAGACGTCCCTGTGATGGCCTTTGGCTCAACAGTCAATTGAGACCTTTGATATTATGCTTTTTGACTCTGATGATTAGCAGTGCAAAACAAAAGATACAGGGAGGTCCAGTTACTGAGGCCATGCTTTCTCCTACAACAGGAGCCCTGACAAGTGGTCACTAAGTCTGAGCTAAGCACTTTTAGGATTCCTTCAAGCAAATTTATTTTTGTGTGATAGTACCATCAGTGTAATTAGTGTAGGATGTGAGGACAATTCCTTACTTCCTTTCAACACATGCAATATTAAAATATGAAGAAAAAAAACCCACCCCTTCCCAACAGTTATTTAGAAGTGTTTTCAAGGGCTAGGACTTCATGGGGAAAGGCATTTTTATATTCATTCAAGTATATTGAAAAGCACCCAGGATACAGTAGAAAGTGCAAATACAGGGGATCTTAGTTCAAATCCTGTCTCTTCCACCTTGTGTCACCTAGAGCAATTTTATTTAACTCCCCTAGACCTTAGTTTCTTCCTCTATAAAAAAAGATTAATTCTATAGTCCCAGTGAGGGAGTAGATAACCACTAATCTGGCTCACATTTAATAATATGATTCACAATAATAATCATGTCCCCTTAAAATCTAACATGCCCTTGCCCATCGGCTCCTAAGACAGCTTATTCCACTTTTCAATGGTGTTAAATGGTAAGGAAATTTTTCCTGACATAAGCCAAAATTTGCCTCTTTGAAATTCTCATCTGTTGTTCTTGATGTGGTCCCTAGGGTCAGGCATTCTTACTTGTGATAACCCTCCAAATGGATGTAGATCACTATTAGAGGAGGAGAAAAATGAAGATTGGAGGATGCGAAGTGTTTTACCAAGAACACAGAGGAGCTCAGTCTCCAACCTATGTCTTCTGTCTCCCAGCCCATCAAGTGCTTTTGTCATAATGTTCCACTGCTCACCTCTCCCAGGTAGCACACAACCACAGACTTGGTACTTCCAAATGGATGTGGCACATCCCTGCATGAAATCTATACAACTTTGAGGAATTTAATGTTTTTACCCTCTCCTTTTTCTTTGTATTTATTAAGTAACTTTGATGGCAAAGTAATACAAATGGTATTCCCAAACCCTTTTCCCCCCTCCTTCAAGGAGTGGTCATTTGAAGCAGAGCTTATATGGTCAATTGTTCCTCCATCTACCTTCCTCAGGAATTTTACCTATCTCAAGGGAAAGTTTTCATCTTTATCCTCAATAAATCATACCATTTGAAGAGCAAAAGAATCATGAAGAGTCCCTTATGCTATATGCAACAGGTGAGACACCATAAGCCAAAATGTCTCTGAAGGATGAGTATTTTTTCTTTAAAAGCTAGCAGCTCCTCATTTCCATCCCTCAGTGTCAAGTACTTTCTCTCAGTTCAACCCAAATCCCTCTTCCCTTTCATGAGAGATGCAGAGTATCTGTGCATCATCATGGAAGGAAATTATCAGTTCACCTTTCTATCTTCTTTTCTACAGGTTTGCCATCTCAATTTCATAAACCAATATAGGCCCTATTTTCATAGAGCATATAGCTAATGACAACTTAGAAGTTAGTAAGTCCAACCTCATTGTGCACAGGAGGAAGCTAAGACCAGAAGGTTAAGTGACTTGCATGAAGTCATGCAGAAAATTAAGTGGCAGAGCTGGGATTTGAACTCAGATTTTCCAACTCCAGATCCAGAGTTCTTTCAAGAGAAGATACTTGCTCTTCAACCGTCAGGGAAATTTTCTCCCAAACTCTTTTGAAGCTTCCTGTGCCTATGAGTTATAGAAGCCAATCCTAGCTAATCAGGAATGCTCATATTTTTCCTACATCTGAGTGACAGAAGAGGATTTCCACCTGCTGCTATTTCTGTGCTAGTATCAGCTAATGCTCACCTTTTTTTCTGTGTTTGGCCCACTAGTCCCTTTTTCTATCATCCTTCTCTGACATGATTTGGAATTATGACAAACATGCATTTTCTACAAAGTAGCTGCTGATGACTTTACCCATTTCGTAACAACAGAGATTATGAGTGTGGCATTACCATTGTTTAATTACCTTGAGGCCGATCATTCATGTTGAGGCTTATTCACAGCCAGGCTCTAAGCTCTTAAGAGGGTTTGAATGAGACCCAATGATGATGTTTTGCTTCCAACCACTTTCTTGACACTAATCATATTAATAATAATGCCTTGCTACTATATAACCTTTACCATTTTGAAGCATTGTCATGTCTTTTATCTCATTATTATCCTCACCACAGTGCCCACTATTGCCTTGTTCTCAGCCCCAAACCTAACAAATGACAGAACAAAAAGTTCGAAAGTCCTTTCCCACAAATAAGTCCAGCATTTCAGAAAAGCCTTTTGAACGAAAGCAATTATTTTTCCCAGTAGCAAAAAGTTGTGGACCCAAGAAGCAGCAAGGTTAAAGGGCAATCTGTTTGGGTTGGTGTCTGACATCCACCTGAGAAGTGCTGCTGTCCATTCTCCACAGGGGAGAGCATAAGAAGAAGGGGTGAGCCAGGGTCCCTAGCCAAAGAAGTAAAGTGTGGATTTGCTACTTGGTTCAAGGCGGTCAGTTCCCAAAAAATAGAATATAAGACCCATGAGTAGAAGATTAAAAATGCATTCTAAAACAATATAAAAGATTTTTCTATGACTATTTTGCTATTCCCATTTGTTTTTTCAGCACTTTAAGTATCTATAATTTCTTTGGTGGGGACAGTTGCTCTAGGGACATAGACAGCAGCCGCCCTGTTACATAGTTGATGGTCTTCCAGAGTAGCCCCCAGATTTATCCTACTTGAAGCCAACCTAATGATGAGATTTTCTACAAATTCAATCCACAGAAAACAGATATATAGTCACCATGGAGTGATGACTTTTCCAGTTGGGTGAAGTGTGGCACAATACATAGTGAGCTGGCCTCAGAGTCAGAAAGTCCTGGGTTCAACTCCTGCTTCTGATAAACACTGGTTGTGTGACCCAGGGGAGGCCACATCACTACTCAGTGCTCCAGGCAAATCTCTGAGAATATAAGTTGCAGAGGAGGTGCCAA